GGGGGGGTTGATGAGGAGAGGGCTACATTTCTGAGGCTGGACTCATATAAAAATTCATAATCCATCTTATTTCATGGACTGAAATTCCCTGACCATTTGGTCACAGACTTGCCATGTGAAGTTGGATGAGTTATTTCCCTCTCTGGGCTTCATTTTTTCAGGTGACTTTCCTACAAATAAACTGAGGATATGGAAATCCAGGAGGCAGCAGGGGGAAGGGTGGTGTGGACAACAGGCCACAAGACTGGGAAGGACCAGAGTGTGGCTTGAGGCACCTGGACATCACCTCCCCGGCCATTCCAGATGAGGCCCTGACACCCCCAGCTGTCCACCCAATGCCTATGGACCTCTTTGGGCTTCCCAGGGGCTGCCATGGATCCAGCCAATCCCAGAGAGGCCCAGACAGCTGATTTGGGGGTGGGAGGCTTGCTTGTGACAACTTCCCTTCAGGGGGAGGGATGTGCCACCTTGGAACAAGGTGGGTGTTACAATCAGGGAATAGACATGCCCATAGCTGCTGTGCTCTCTTGCCTAAGGAGGCCCCTGAAAGAGAGAGGAAGGGGACCTGCAGGAGTCGCCCCTTTGCCCATGAGGAGAATGCTGTGTGCCAGGAAGCCCTCGTGATGACTCCTATTTTAGGCAGGTTGGGGGACAGAGGTCCAAAGATGGGGTAATTGCCCAGCTCCTCACAGTGAATCAGAGGTACCCCCTTGAGGGAGCAGAGTGAGGACCTCAAGTCCAGGGGAGCATGCATGCTCGGGGAGCCTTTCTCAGAGCCCCAGCCTTCTCTCCTTCCTGCACACGAGTCTCCACTCCTTTCCCACCGCCTTAATCTAAATAAATCCAATCCATCTTGGCCACATCCGCCGGCAACAGCTTCCCTCCCTCGGGGTCCTGAGGCTCCCACGACACAGGCAGGCCAGGGAGGGGGGCCTGCGCGGCTGCCAGTGGGGGAGGCCTGCACACCGTGAGCACGTGCACACACAGCACAGGCTCCTGCCTACGCGCTCATTCACACACTCCTTGGAAACCCAGCAGACCATGTGTGTGCCGGCCCTCACGCAGGCACTCAACATGTGCACGCAACGCCCGCACGAAACACGCATGCATGCGGCTGCCACTGTGCCCCGCACACATCCACGCAGCACAGGCTGCCTCCTGCGGGCTCTCCTAGCCCCCACATGAGGTGCACATGTGCATGGCACATCACATGTGTACCCAGGCAAACAGCCTGTGCACATACAACATGCACACACATTGTGTGCACACGGGACCCCAAACTCCCCTGAACACACATTCATATGGGCGCACGGATAGGCTACAAAGCCCGCGTGTTGTACGTGTGCTGCGCCTGGTGCTGTTCTAAGCCCTTGACGTGTATTGACTCACCTGCTCCTCGGCCGACTCTATGAGATTGATACAATGATCATTCCTGTTTTAGATGGGGAAACTGAGGCAGAGAGCACTTAAGGAGCTTGCCTAGGAACAGAGACTGAGCCGAGGTGAGAGCTCTGCCACCACGTCTCTAGTTTCTTGGTTTGAGCAGGTGAAACCGATAGGAACAGATGGGCTGGAGGATTATCTAGCTGTGAACAACAGGACTCGTCGATTAGATGTTGGAGGGCTGAAGAGAGAGGTACCCTAAGTGAGCCCCACCCCTGTTTCTGGCTGGGGGGGTGTATGCTGGAGGCAGTGCCATTTTCTGAGATGAGAGTGAAGCGGGGCAGCAGGATTAAGAGCTGCCACCGAGCTGGTTGAAGATGTGGAGGGGCTGTGGGCACCTTAGGGGACAGAGGGACACTCAGTCTGGCAGCAGGGAACAGGCTGGGCAGAAGTAGCATCTAGATGGGGGTGGGAGGGAGCCCGGCTTCGAGGAGGAGGGGGTGCCAGGGATGCTCTGAATAAATAAGATGCCAGAGGGAGGAGGAGGCCTGGCCATGGGGTCGTGGGGTTAGTCTTGGAATGCCAGAGCTCCACGGCCCTTAGGGATCATCTACGCATCCAACCTCCTTCCTCGGCCCCATTGTACAGATGGGGAAACTGAGCCTGAGAGAAGGGCAGGGCCAGGGCCCAGTGTTTTGACGGGGCTCAGGTGGCCAGTGGGGAACTGATGCTCACCTGACTGGGCAGCCCTGGCCTCCAGCCCTGCCTCAGCTGTGAGTCTGGTGGCTCAAGTCTCCAGGGTTCAGATGACAGCTGCTGCCCCCTTCCTCCCCACAGGACCCCCTCCCCGCCCCACTCTGCTGTACACAGACCTTTATATCAAAGTCATTCTTCCTGCACTGTCCTAGCCAAGCAGGGATTAGAGACTAAGTGTCAAAAGAGCGACTTATTAAGATGCTGGCAGAAATGGGACAACTCTGGTCTCCTGACCAGCAGGCTAGTCCTCTCTCCTCCACACCATGGGCACTTCACAGCCTCTAGGACAAACTTCAGGGCACAGATCCCTGGCTGGAAGTAAGGGGACGTGAGTTCTAGTCTCTGCTCTGTCACCCACCTGTGGTGCAGTCCTGCCCCTCTCTGAGCCTCAGTTTCCCCGCTTCCTGGGCTGACATG